AGATTGTTCAGTAAGAATTACAGGAGGCCATTGTTTGGGACTAAGCTCCTATTCTAGACCAGGCTAAAAATATGGAGTCACTCACTCTAAAGCTGCAAGTCACCAAGCTGAAACTAAGTTAATTATCTGACCTACCAAAAAAATCAGGATTACAGAATTAACAGTTAAATTTCCCACACAGGCCAATTTCAGTTGGCATAATGAAATTCCCTCTGCCTTAATCTTTATACAAGAAAAGGTAGCTGGTAGTAACCTGATGTAAAACCAATCAGTTTTCTATTATTCCGTCTCCTTGTTCCGTACAACAAAGGTAACTTTGAAAAGACCAATCCACTTTCTGTTTCTGTTTTCTTCTGTCCTTTTCTAACAAAACCAAGCTCAACCGCTGAGTGTTGTCTGATTCTATAATCAAAAATAAAACCAATTAAGATCTTGAAGCTAAGTTGTAATTGTGTCCTTAGACAGGATATAGAGGACAATTTAAAATATTGGTGTAAACAAGGGCTCTTGGATACAATGTGAGGTTAAGGAAAGGGTCTCAATAAGCTTTCAAAAGAAATTGATATGTTTAACATCCTGGTAGAGAAAGATAACAGGGCAAATGAGAGTGAAATCCGACCAGTGGTGAGAAAAGCAAGGACAGTTGAGTGAAAGGTAGAAAGATTCGGAGGTGTTGAAAAGCTGTAATGAGCACTCTGCATACCTTAGGGCAATGCCTGCAGTCTCTGAACCTATGTTTATTTCCCTATCTCAGATCATTGTCATGATAATGAAATCTGATAATGTTTGAGGAAATGTTGAAACTGATATTATTTTATTACATAATTATTATCCTTTCTTGGTTTGTTTTTATTTTTGTTTTTCCAAACACTGGGGTCATTCATACCCTTATCTTATTCATCCAGGCCTCTTTGGAACAATAAAAGAGCAAAAAAATTACAAGAATTTCAATGTGAGAAAGTTCCCCATTCCTTTGCCTGATTGTAAGGAAAGTGTCTGCACCCAGAATCTGGAACATTCCTTCCTCCCCACGCCCTACCCCTGACCCCAATTTCTTTTCTCTTCTCCCTTTCCCTATGAATCTGAAAAACACCAGAAACTACTTTGAATCCACTAGGTGTAGGCTTGAGCCCCTCAATTCTGGAACTAAAACTGCTCGGCGATCAGCATGCACCCTATGAATAAGTGGCTAGGTATGGGTAGAAGTAGTTTCTGGTATTCATGGAATGTCTTACTGGTGCACTCTCCCCTCCTCTTGGTGTAATCAGTGTCACATCACAGGGTGTCCCACTTTGACTTGTGGAGTGGTCATTACTTAATGTTCAGAAAGAGGGGAAGCCAGCTGAGAGGGGACCCTCCGTGCAGAGCACAACTATCCAGGCACGTGGCAGTGACTGTCCCTTATCCTCACCGCTGAGAAGAGAAGAGCCAGCTGGCACCAAGCCCACTCTCTTCTTCTGGACCAGACCCTGGGCTTCTGGCAACACTTCCAACCACAAGCTGACGCCTATATACAAATGATTCATTTTCAGCCTCCTACTTTTCTTTAAAGAGTCAGCTGTCATGTGCCACCTGCCCCTGACTCACCACAGCTCCTTTGCCCCAGGGAAATAAACACTCAGAAGATTCCTGACTTCCAACCACTCCTCCAAGAGAGTCACATTACTTTTATGATGAGGCAGCACAGAAGCATGCTCACTCACTCCCATTTGCTGTCCTGTGGGCTACAGAGCCATTGTTCCTGAGCATAAATACCAAGACAGAAGGCAATTTGTGTTGCTGCAATTATGCAGGACAAAATGAAAGCCAGTTGAGGCATGCAAAGTATTGAAGGGCTAAGGAGCTAATTACACAGTGTTTCAAAGAGTGAGAGTTGGCCTAAAGTTTCTAATTCCATATTATGCTGAGGAAGAAATTTGTAGACTTTCAGAAACTTCAGGAAGTGCTCCTGAACTCGGAGCTTAATGAGGTCCACAAAGGATGTTGATCTTAACGCTCAGCTTTTCTCATCTCCGCTTTTTTTTTTCTTTTGTTTCTATCACTGATGGGAATGAAAACTATTGGCATAGTTTTGTTTCCCTGTCAACCTTGTGGCACACTAAAAATCTGTTAGTTTTAAATGAGGATTTTCGATGGGGAGGATGTTTTAATAGTCACATTTTTGAAACCCCCTTTTCTGAGCTGCTCCTCACTGATGTCCTTTATCTTCTGAAATTGGGTCAGCTGTCATGAGTCTTTGCCAAAGCTTCATGCTGTTAAGGCCACAGACAGATGAATCACCTATTGCCTAAGTAAATTAAGCTAAAATGTGCCATGGGCAGCATCCCTGTTACAGAATTATTCCCTGCTACTACTTCTGTTAGAATGGTAGGAGGTTGACTATATTATCAGTATTCGTCAGTCAAATGAAAAGGGGCAAGAAATGCTATGAATATGTGGAACAGCTAAGAAACCCCATATTCTGTTATTTTATATAAATGAAAGTTAATTATGTAACCAAACATGAAACCTAACCTGTATTTTTTATATTATTGATAATTATTAATGATTATATTACCAATCATTTAATGACAGTTAATAATTTATATAACAGTCTATAACTTGCATTTGTTATGAAGTAGTCTCATCTCAATGAAGTGACATTAGATTTTCAGGGTTGTTTTTTCTTTTTTCAATTGAGAGACAGAGAGAGAGCAAACAAACTCCCATGCACTGGTTCACTCTGCAAATGCCCAAAACAAACAGTACTGGGCTGGGCTGAAGCTGGGAACCAGAAACTCAGTGCAAGTCTCTCTCGTGGGTAACAGGAACCACCTTCTTAGGACATCACGGCTTCCTCCAAAGATCTGCATTAGCAGGAAACTGGAGTCTGGTATTGAGATCAGGAGTGCAGATATAGGGTGTCAGAGGCTTAACCAATAAAGCAAACATTTGCCCCGTAGTTTTAAATAAGAGAATATTATCGCCTGTATAACCAGAGTTTGAACGTGAATGTAAACATTTAATTTTGTGGTTAAAACGTATTATAATGAAGATCAGATTCATAAAAATTGCGAACTGTTTCCTTTAATCAATGGACAGTTAAAACCAGAGGATGGCTTTTTCCATAATGGATAGCAGCTTCATTGCCTCATTAGTACGTACTGGAGGTAACTGTCGTGACTCCTTCCTCGGTGATTTTCAGGGAACATCCCAATATAATCTAACTCTTGACATGTTCTGTGCACTAATTTCATTAGGAAGAGAACAGTATTCTGAAATCAAAAGAAGATTATCATTAGTCTCAGTTGATCAAACTCACAGATCTATTGAACATCTACTTTTAAAAAAATCATTAGCCAAACATTTTAGGAAACACATAGAAATAACACATTCTTTGCGCGCAAGGAGCTATCATTTAACTAGGAAGACAGGTTACATAGTGACAGGTACATAGTGTATAAAGTTTTTTTTTTTTTTTGACAGGTAGAGTTATAGACAGTGAGAGAGAGAGAGAGGGAGAGAAAGGTCTTCCTTCCGTTGGTTCACTCCCCAAATGGCCGCTACGGCCGGCGCTGCGCCAATCAGGAGCCAGGAGCTTCTTCCTAGTCTCCCACACGCGTGCAGGGACCCAAGCACTTGGGCCATCCTCTACTGCCCTCCCGGGCCACAGCAGAGAGCTGGACTGGAAGAGGAGCAACAGGGACTAGAACTTGGCACCCATATTGGATGCCAGCACCGCAGGCAGAGGATTAACCAAGAGAGCATTGGCACCGGCCCCTAAAGTTTCATAACAATGTATTTTTAAAAGATTTTTCAGATTATTTTTAAAGATCTATTGTTTGTATAATTAAAAGGCAGAGTTATAGAGAAAGGAGGAGAGACACAGAGAGAGAGAGAGAGACCTTCATTCCCCAAAAGGCCACAATGGCCAGGGCTGGGCCAGCCCAAAGCCAGGAGCCCAGAGTTTCCTCCAGGTCTACTACCTGGGTACAGGGGCCCAAGCACTTAGGCCATCTTCTGCTGCTTTCCCAGGCACATTACCAGGGAGTTGGATTGGAAGTAGGATGCTGGTGTCTCAGGCATTAAAAGCAGAAGCTTAACCTGCTATACCATAATGCCAGCCCCTTAATAACAATTTAAAGCATCACTAATTTAAATAGTTGTGAAGGTAAAAGCATATGTGTAGTTACCAAGGTAATGCAGGCTTTCAAAAAAGGGAAAGAACACTTGAGGCAGATGTAATTAGAAAAAAATTTAGTGAATAGGTGGGATTTTAGCCACACCAGCTATTAATTGTTTTCTAAGTAGTGGAGTATAAATATAAACAAATCATACTGCATCATGGGTTTGACAACTATACGGGGGGGCTTCGATTGCTTATCTGCTTACATCTACAGTGTTGATTCAAGTGTGGCTCTGTCAGTTCACAGATATCACACCAATCGCAGTGTGGTATCCTGTTCCATAGAGTTGACTCAGCTTAGCAATAAGAATCAGAAAATAATCACATAAAGTTGAATGTCTCAGTACAAGGCCTTAGCTTTACTCTGAAGGTAGAAATGAATTACTAGAGTGACAAGTTTTAAGATTATCTTTTTAATAACATATTTGTTGATGATAAAAACTGTTTACAAATTCAATCAAATTGACTAAAGAAATTAAAACTAAAGAACATGTAGCCTGGACTTTCCAGGTGACCTCTGTTTTCTAAAGAATGAAATTTATTCCTGCTTCTCAAACTTGAATGGGCCAGGAGTCAGATGAGTCCTATTAAAATGCAGATTCTGCATCTTTAGTCTGGGTTGAGACCTGAGAATCTTGTGTTTCTGATGGGTCCCAGAAGAGGTAGTGCTGCTGATGGTGCACATTAAGCAGCTAAACTGTGGAGAAAGTAACACCATGCTAGCTTCTGCAAAGGATGTAGCTTAAGTGCTAATTCCCTTTTTAAGGAATAGCAATATCACAGTAATATTTTATATGGCTTTTATACTTTATTCTCATTTTATCTTTGCCTTTAGCACGAAAGCAAGAGATTATCAAGGTCACTGAACAGCTGATTGAAGCTATCAACAATGGGGATTTTGAGGCTTACACGTGAGTACTGTTAGAATTATTTTAGCTCCAAGCATATGACACATGTATTTTCTATATTAATACGTTCTTCAGTGTGTCTGAATGTATGTATATCTCACACCAAGTTCTGTCAACGGTAATTTATTTCTAGGCGTAAGTGACTGAGTGCCCCCAGAGGAAAAATAAATATGCTTAGATTTCAGAGATGACTGATTTCTGATCCAAGGACAGAGATTTCTTGGTAAATACACAGATGTGTGACTACCTGTATATCTGTATGAGAGTAAGCCATCCCTGGCAGAGCAACCCCTAAGAGCAAAGAGACATTAAAAAACAAAAACAAACAAACAAACAAAAAAACAAACAGAGAAGCAAATAGAAAGTGCATTTTAGTGCTTTAGTTTAATAAATATTTTCTTCCTGAAGTTCTGCAGAGGTCAGGGGCAAAAAGAAATTAAGAGACATTAGGCAGCTTTTTCCCTCTTCACCCAGTACAGCTTAACTTTATCTGCATCTCTTTCTTGTGTTTGTTTTTTTAAAGAAGGAGTTTTGATGATGCTTAATTTAATGTTTATAAACTACTGGATCATAGGATATTAAAGAAAATTGCTTGGCTCAGGTAAAAGGAAACCTTCAGTTTAAATAGGGCATAAAGTTTTATTAGACTATACGGTCAGTAAGTTAGCTATTTGGGAATACAAATCTGTCTAAGGTTTATCCCCACATTATAGAACAAAATCAGTTACAATCAAATAAAACAATTAAATGAAAAACATATTGAGTCTGATCTCAGAAAGATCTTGAACAGCTGGGAAAGTAATCATACATCAGAAAATAAAATGATTAGTTTACCTAGGTAGATAAAACTTGCATACTTTAATTACAAAGCCAAAAATAAAACTGAAAGACAAGCAATAAACTTAGAAAAATCTTTGCAAGATATGTGTCAAAAGTTATTTTCTATATTGAATAGATAAGATTGAGAAGTAGAAAAATAGGTAAAGGGCATGAACTGACTAGTGGCAGAAATAATGCACTATTAGAAGAAGTATAAATAACAAAAACAATAATAAAAGTATGTTCATTTCCACTAGTTCGGTATATGCAAATTGAAAACAAGAGCATTTTCTGCCTGTGAGAGCAGCAAGGGTAAAAGAGAGCTGCAGTGTGGGCAGCGGCTTCACTACACCTTAGGCTGCAGTGTAAATCAGGACAGACTTTCAGGATGCTAGTGGCAGAGATGGAGGGAGTTATAAAGCTATTATTATTATTATTACTATCAGACTTATTTGAGAGGCCAAGATACAAGGAAAGAGGGGGCTCCCATCTACTGTTTCACTCTCCAGATTCCCAAAATGGCCAGGGCTGAGCTAGGCTGAAGCCAGGAGCCAGGAACTCAATGCAAGCCTCCCACATGGGTGGCAGGATCTCGCCTCCTTGAGCCATCACCCATTTTCTCCCAGAGTGAGCATTAGCAGGAAACTGGAATCAGGAATGGAACCAGGACTGAAATTTAGCACTTTGGTATGAATGTATGCTTCCCAAACTGTATCTTAATTGCTAAGCCAAATACCTACTCCAAAAGCTTTTATAAAGGTCACTTTAATACTGCAATTCTGCTTGAAATAATTTAACTCGAGAGTGAATTTTGAATTTAAACAAGGACAGAAATTTGTGAACAAAGATTTGTGCACAAGTCATGTTCATTATAATGAGAAAATAGAAGCAATATATATGTACAACATATGGTAACCATTAAGTAACCCTTGGTGCCTTTAGTATAATGGATGTTTATGCAGAGTTTCTAGGAGTCTGTTGGAAACTTAATGATGGTGTTGTTGAAACTAAAGATACAGGGGCCAGCATTCTAGCTTAGCAGGTAGAGTTGCCATCTGTAATGACAGCATCCCATATGGGCACTGGTTTGAGTCCTGGCTTCTGCACTTCCAAACCAGATACCTGCTAATTGGGAAAAGCAGCAGAAATAAATAAATAAATAGAAATAATAAAAAAATAATAATAACAAAATAAATAATAATAAATTAAAATAAATAATAAAATAATAAATAAAAATAAAATAATAAAATACAATGAATAATAAATAAATAAATGATAATGCAGATATAAAAGTACATGTACACAGTTATCCCAACCACATTAGAAAAAAAGTCACAAAAAAGTTAAATGAAATATAACAGATTGATTTTACTAAGTACAAAAAAAAATTTGTCTCTGAGGGGTAAAATTATGTGTGAATTTTTTCTCTTTCCTGTTCTTTCCCGATTTTACATAAACAGATATTACTTTTATAATTACTTATAAGTAGGTAAAATGAAAAGCATGGAGGCCGGCGCCGCGGCTCACTAGGCTAATCCTCTGCCTTGCGGCGCCGGCACACCGGGTTCTAGTCCCGGTCGGGGCGCCGGATTCTGTCCCGGTTGCCCCTCTTCCAGGCCAGCTCTCTGCTGTGGCCAGGGAGTGCAGTGGAGGATGGCCCAAGTCCTTGGGCCCTGCACCCCATGGGAGACCAGGAGAAGTACCTGGCTCCTGCCATCAGATCAGCGCGGTGCGCCGGCCGCAGCGCGCTGGCCACAGCGGCCATTGGAGGGTGAACCAACGGCAAAGGAAGACCTTTCTCTCTGTCTCTCTCTCTCACTGTCCACTCTGCCTGTTAAAAAAATAAAAAAATAAAAAATAAAAATAAAAAATAAAAAAGTATGGAAGAGAATAAAATATAAGAACTAAATAAAAATTCAGGAGTGCTTCTTATAAATTAAATGTTTGTATATATGCATACAAATACATACAACTATATATGTAGATATATGTGTGTGTCAGTTCCTTAAGATGAATTAATAAAATGCACATGGAATAAAATAAATGGTAAACACAAGAGTTTTAAAGAGTACTTTTTATTGTCAGAGACAGCAATTCTCTGTTAAACAAATGTTATAACTCTATGCCTTAGAACCTGCTCTTAATTATTTATCTATTTTTCCTTTTTTAATCATGTTAGAATGATATGTTTATCAAAAAAAGTATTGTTTTTAAAAAATCTTTTTTGATAGCACTCTCCTGTTGAATGTTAAAAAGATGTGTTTTGTTGTTAGTTCAGGGTCATGGAGCAATGAAGGCAAGCAAAAAATGGATACTTTCTGTGTTCTCACAGAGTATAAAGTGGGATGCTTTAAGAATTGCAATACCTTGGGGTCATACACTAATTCTGTAATCTGGTCTGATTTTGTACTTTGAGGCCCAGAAGTAATCCAACAGCACTTCTACTTAGGGGTGTTTGGGATGCCGGAATGTACTGCTATAGCTCTATCAGCTTAGAACACCTGTTCACAGCACACACTCTCGCATGTCAAGGGGCAGCTTTATTCATTTTTTTATGAATCCAAATATCCTGATGCAGGAGATAGATAGGAAATGGACAGATAGATGGTATATAGGTAGCTATGTGAAGAGAGAGGAAGGAAGGATGGAAGGCAGGGAAGGAGGGAGGGGAAGTGGAGGAGAGGGAAGGAAAGAGGAAGAGGAGGAATCAGGACAAAAGTAAAGAAAAAGCGTTTGAAAATATTGATTTGTGATGGCTGTGTAGAGATCTAGCGCAGCACTAAGATTTGTGAATGATCTTTGTTCTGAGATAAGGAAGTAAGAAACTTTGTTCACTAATATTGACAACGAAAACTGTACTTTCAGAGAAAATAACAGCTCCTGGCAGAATAAATTCTTGTTACCATAGAAACGGTATTCTTCCCATTTTGCTCCTTGGAAAGAGATTATATGTATTTGACTGTAAGCTTAATATCACCTGTCATCACCTGTCTGGCCGGGGAGATTAGCATCCCTACCCATCCCTCACCTCTACCTTTCTTCAAAAAAGACCACTCCATGTCTATGAACAGTACTGCACTGTGAGAACCATAATGAGACTCTTGAAATTTTCATTTCTGTTAAACAATTAAGAAATGTTTCCTTCCAAATGGGGACTTTCAATTTAAAATTAGATGTGACAGGGCCGGCTCACTTGGTTAATCCTCCACCTGCGGCGCCAGCATCCCATATGGGCACCGGGTTCTAGTCCCAGTTGCTCCTCTTCCAGTCCAGCTCTCTGCTGTGGCCTGGGAAAGCAGTGGAGGATGGCGCAGGTGCTTGGGCCCCTGCACTCTCATGGGAGATCCGGAGGAAGCACCTGGCTCCTGGCTTTGGATTGGTGCAGTGCTGACTGTTTGCGGCCATTTGGGGAGTGAACCAACGGAAGGAAGGCCTTTCTCTCTGTCTCTCTCTCTCACTGTCTATAACTCTACCTGTCAAATTAAAAAAAAAAAAAAGAGTCAAAGTGAGATGGGGCTGGCACTGTGGCATAAGAAAAAAATTAGATGTGACTTCATCCACTGTTACACACTTTGGAGAAAATTGATAAACAGGCCAAACGATCTTACGATTTGTACCACTTTTACCTTCCTTGTGAAATCCCACTAATTCGTCAAATCCAGATATTGTCACTTCCTCTGAGAAGCCTACCCTGATCACCACAAACCAAAGTAACAATTTTGTAGCCCCCCAACCCTGTGTTTTAAAGGGATTTACATACATAGCCCAGTGACCCAGTGTTGACCATATGAAACAAATACCCAATAATTCCCCAAATATGCCCTGCATTTTCATAGTGGTATACTGTCACACCTGTTGCCTTCCTGCTATCCACCACCTTCCCCACACCTGGAAAATCCTGGCTTATTCTTAAATTTTCTTTATCTTAATTTTTTCCTATTCACTGTCTGTAAGTAATCTGGTTTCAAGCAATTTACATTTACTTCCATTCTGGTGTTAGGTACTGTGTCACAATTGCTTGTTCAGAAGAATATCTACTACATAGTAGGTTTTTAACAACCTGTTATCATAGGGGCCTTCATTGTGGTACAGTGAACCAGGCTGCCACCTGCAACACTGGCATCCCACATCAGAGCCCTGCTTTGAGTCCTAGACACTCCACTTCTGATCCAGCTTCCTACTAATGCACAAGGGAAATCAGTGAAAGATGGTCGAAGTGCTTGTGCCCCTGCACCCACGTGGGAAACCCAGATAGACCTTTGGTTCCTGGCTTCCCTTGGCGCCATCCCTAGCTGGGATGGAAGATCTCTCACCACCACTCCCCTTTCAAATAAATCTTTTAAAAATTAATTATTATAAATTTCTCCAAAGAAAGCTTATTGACTTTCTCTGAATATTTAAAACTATGTAACCTTTGTTGAATTATAGTTCTAGGATCAAAACAAAAACCAGGATGTTCATTTAGACCACCTGTTAACTTTTAAAACTAACATAAGCTTTAAACACAAGCTTAATTGAGTCTTATATACCTTGCCAGAAAATATAGAATGTGATCCCTTCCTTCAAGTTAGTTACAATACAGATGGTTAACATGAATAAAGAAGGTGTGGTCCATTAAAAATTATTCCAAAAGTATTTCATTTCCGAACCAGATGTGATTTTATAGTATTTATAGAGTGTATTACACTTGGACTACAGGACTTGGAGAATTTTTTTTAAATAATAAACTTAAGTCAGGAGTTAGAAAAATAGGGAAGAACTACAGAAATCACTTTGGAAACAAAAAGTGGAAATTTTGAAATGAAGACTCCTCAAGTATTATGGATTATTCTCTGCTTGAACCAGTCGTAATAGAATTCTCTATAAAATGACATTTTAGAATTGACTCCTCAACCTGCCTTCCCAAGGTCTATGATAGACATTTTACATATTTTTAATAAAGTGTTTCTTAGAGGTTATTTCCTTCACTGAGTGATAACTAAGAATGTTTACATATGAAACAATACAATATGTTAATGCATGTTTGTATTGGTTATTTTCATTTTTGTTTTACAGAAAAATCTGTGACCCAGGTCTTACTGCATTTGAACCTGAAGCTTTGGGTAATTTAGTGGAAGGGATGGACTTTCACCGATTCTACTTTGAAAATGGTATGTTTATTCTTAGTTTAATAATATGCCTTTTCCAACCACTCTGAATTTTCTTCAAATTTGGCAACTTCTTTGCCCTTTTCTGCAATGAGATTTTTCACCTTCATCCAGCATTTTACAGCATAATTTTTTTGTATTTAAAATTGACAAAAATGTCTATGATAGGCTTAAAAGTTTTGGTGTGTTTTGGAAAATATCTGACTGTATAAAAAAAATAATATCAACTGAATACACCCCACCCCTGTGAATGCACAATGTCCAGCAAAATGAGTTGTCAAATATGTGTTATTTCAAGTTTTTATAAGAGTGTTTATATATGTATATATAAAATGAAGCCAATCAGCATGCCATAATATTCAACAAAGATGCAGACTTTGAAGCATATTCAGTGCTTATCTTGCTTAAGTTCAGAGTAAGATATAAACAAAGATGAATGACTAGATAAATATTTCCATTCTTGTAAGAATTTTAGTGGTCTCAGGAAACAACCACATTTCAGAGTAAAATAATTTTTTTCTGCAGAAAATCTTCCCATTACTCAGAAAAGTATAAGCCAGAAATTGCCTTTATCCTTCTGTTTTTCTTTACACTTAAGGGCATTAGACATTATGTTATATTTACTTGATGCACGAAGTGAATTCACTCATTTTGCAGTGAGATCACATTGAATTAAAGAGAAATTGTAGCTCTGATTATGACAATCAAGTTTACTTCCAGTAATTTTGGGCCTTTACATGAATGCCTGCTTTTGCATCAATTTTGACATATGGAACGAATTAAATTTTCTTACATACACCAGACATTTGAAAACAAATGAAAATAATTATGTGATAAATTTGCTCTAACAGAGCTTCAATAAATGATCTCATGTTCTCTCTGTTCCTGACACAGAGTTCCTAACATCATCTCCTGATGTTTCCTCCAACATTCAGTTGATACCATCTCATCTTTAGTAAAACTCATTAGTCTATTCATATTTTAACCTATTTTTGCATAACACTGCAGACATCATTACATCTCAAAAGAATATATTCCTCATAATAGGGTATTCTTTTCATGTGACTATAGTAATAACATTTTCAGATGATATGCACTAAATCCTCCTTTCTCTTGGTGACTAGAACAGGGACCAACTGTCAGAAAAGGGGTTGTTGGAACCTGGTCAGAGCAATACAATTGAAGGGAATAGATTTAGGACCAGAGGCAAGTTCTGTGTCCACTGCTCATTTTGGATTTTTACTAGATGATCACAACTGGACTATCATGGAATGGGCTTTTGCCATATGACGACACAGTTCAAGATCCAGAAACAAATTCAGGCTATCTCTAGCCTTTATTGAAGACAGTGGTCTCCGTGCTTGATAACTTGACAAGTCCCTTGTTGCATGCACTTCATTAATAGGAACTAATAGAAAGAATATCCTGTCAACTGCCACAGCAGTTTGATCATTGAAAAGGGAGAAGTTTTTTGGTGCACCTAACTCTATGTTATAGCTTCCAGTTCTGACCACTTACCATTATAAATAAAACATTGCCCCAAGCTTTTCCCTTCAATCAAAACATCCAGAGTAGCACACAGATGGCCTGTAAAGGGAATCAGAAAAAGGAAAGACTACCCACATTACTACTTTCTCTGTATAATACCCAGCACTCAATTAGTGCAAATACTTCGTAGGTAATTAGTTGGTAGATGAATTTCTATTCATTGGTCCCAACTGAAGTCATTTCTGATCTTGGTATATTTTACATATAAACTAAACTTTGATTTTCATGTGATTCTCTTTCAGCTTTGTCAAAAAGCAATAAACCAATCCACACTATTATCCTGAACCCTCATGTCCATCTGGTAGGGGAGGATGCTGCCTGCATAGCATACATTAGGCTCACACAGTACATGGATGGCAGTGGCATGCCAAAGACAATGCAGTCAGAAGAGACCCGTGTATGGCATCGCCGGGATGGCAAGTGGCAGAATGTTCATTTTCATCGCTCAGGCTCGCCAACAGTACCCATCAAGTAAATATTTCCATGCTGTCAACTTCTTTGTTAATATACCGTGGTCAGCTCCTGCTATTGATTTCATTGTTACTAGTATGACAAATGTTGTTTAATGCTAACGGTTGGTTACATTGGTGAAAATAAATGTCTTAATGAGAAAAGTCTACAGTTCTCTGGGAAGATCAATCAGATCAACCATTTGTGGGTTGAAGCCTGCCATAGAGCAGTATGTGATAGGTTAGAAACTAGAGACTACACTGCCAAGCTGATTGCTCATAGGGTTAAATGAGGAAGGTGCATGTAGTAAGGGTAAATATTTGTGACTGCACAAAGGAAGGGCATTAGAAAGAAAGCACAGGGAAGAGTTTCTGAGATGGCCAATATGTTATCCAGGTGCTTCCCTTCATGGATTAACCCCTAGATCTCAGTAATAGATATTAGGACAAGTTTGTAAAAGATAGCATTTATAAGACAAATACCAGGTATTGCAGTATCTGTCCCACCTCACCACTCTACTGCAGAGGTCGTGTTTGCTTTTACAGTCAATGATGTGGCAAATGTTTAATGCATATCTTCTAGATCCTTCACTTGTGCCAGATTCAATGTGCAGTAAAAGACCTTACCTTCAAAGGACGCATATTCTAGTTTAGAAAGCAACTAATTGCTGAAACCACAGGGGGAAAAACAAACTATATGAGGTGGTTATAATCAACTTCAAAGTGAAGTGGGATGAATGTAGATTACTATTTATAACAGCCTGAATGTATATTTTGTATAAATATAGAATTCCCGCCAAATGATAATTGTGATTTGGAGACATTGAAAGAACAAAAAGAAGATATTCCAAGCTAAAAAGCATCATGAATAAAAGTACAGTGTCAGGATCCTAGCTTAATATGATCAAACATGATGAGTAAGGAATGCTGGCTCTAACTGGAGTGAGTAGAAATAATGGGAAATTGGATAAATCAAGAAAGTGGGGCAAGATGGATTAAAAAAAAAAAAGAAGAGTTTGTTCTTTGGACTGAGAAGCTTGGCCCACTGCTGATCTATTTCCAAATTTTCCCACTAGTATCCCTGTCAATATTTGGGGGTGTGGGATGGTTGGTCAAGTCAATTCACTCTAGAGAATGCATCATGAGTTCTTAGTTTGATGACCTTCCACAGTGGTTTTCAAAGGCCTTCTCTGGAGCCTTAATAATTATGTGTCACTGTTGCATTTGAAACAATGGGTCAACCAGGACAAAAAAAAAATAGATTAAAATTCATCTCCAAATCAATAGCTATGTAATTAAGAGAAAGATACAAAAGGAATGTGAAGATTCCAGTTTTTGTGTATTTGTGTATTTTTTTTTTTTTACCAGAAAGAGGTACAGCACAAATTGCCAGTTAACATAGAAGGGATTCCATTCGTACAGTACGAGGGAGTTAGATTTCACTTAAGTGTATATAGGATAGAGCCTATTTAAGAAAACTTCATTTTATGCCATGTGGCTTAAATGAGGCTTCTCTTAATAGGCCACCTTGTATTCCAAATGGGAAAGAAAACTACTCAGGAGGCACCTCTTTGTGGCAAAACATCTAAGACCTGAAAACCATTCACATGTGGGTCTTGTAAGTAACATCCTGCTCCGTGATGTTTTGTGATTGGAGCTAGTGACTGAAAAGCTGCATGGCTATTTTTCTTCCTTTTGAGGATATTTTCTCTTGCAATATATATAATGAAATAACATACAAGGTCTTTGAAAATTCATAGAAATTTTGCATGAGCTCTTGAGTCTAATGTTAGACCGCATTTTGTATCCTAACTATTATTTTAAAGGTAGTAAACAGAAGCAAAAGAAAAATTTCTCAACACATGGCATTGTGTCATTTTAGAATCTTGCAGTTCTCATATCAAAAGCCAATTATGTCTGGTCATTTTCAGACAGCTCTCAGTTATTTAGCCCTAATTTATCCTAAGCTTTAGAATCCATTGATGTCTTACTGTTTTTTTCAAGAGGTTGCAATTCCTGTAAGCATTTGGCTGAGGTTAATATATAAATTAATTTGCTGTGCCTGACCAACTATGATGGTTCTTGACCATGAGGACAGGCCACAGAACAAAGTAAAGCTGAAACTTAAAACTCACAAAAATAGGTAATTCCAGAGGGTACTTAAAGTTGACTGTAACTAAATTCATGCCTGTGTTTTTTTTTAAAGATTTGTATTTTAAACATGAATTCAGAGGATTCAGATATGTGTAGTATTGTTGTGAATATTTTCCTCCATGCAAACCACTGAAAATTATCAGAGATTTAAGAAGTGGTGCTCTCAGCTGTTGCTTAAAAAAAAGAATAATCATGTTTTCTCTACTTTTAATGCTATAGTGCTTATAAACTGATTTCTTAGGTTTTAGTGCCCAAGGAACCTAACAATAATGACAAAAGCTTGAACTTTGAGTCTGTTTAAACCAAATGATAATATTAATTTAGTTCATTTGGCTAGTAAATATGTGTTTAAATACATATTTAGTTTTAATAATGATTTGAAGCTGTATCTCTATATTTTTATTTTTAGCTTTAACTTTTTGTGAACAAATAATATTGATGTTTTAATATTGTCTTTGACATTGTGTATTTATTTTATCTTGTAATGATTACGATAATCATTGATATGTAGTGTTTTCAGTTTCTTTAGAGTTCTAAAACTGTAGCCCAGTCACATATATGTTGAAGCAAGTTGATGATATTTTGTAAAACAATATAATTTATTTCTTCCTCCTCCTTTTCTCTTTTCAGTTAAGTATCAACAGTGCCACTTCTACATTCTCTGTTCTCAAGGCACCTGGATGGTAACCCTGGGCCGTCCTCTCCTCCTCTTCATGCATGTTTCTGAGTGCATGAAGTTGTGAAGGTCCTACATATAATGCATACGTGATGCATCCTGTTATCATATATTCCTTCCTATACATTGTTTACATTTCAATGACGGGGATGTTCCATGCAAATATAGATCACTGTTGGCAAACAATAGGGGGAGGTCAGACAACAAATTCCACAATATTCCAAGTACAACCTGTTCATCAAGTTTCTCTGTTTATGCCAAGATTTAACAGACTTAAAATATTATTGTTCTCTGAATGACAGTCTGTAAGTGAAATGTAAATTTTTAGAACGCTTTGCTGTTAATCTCTTTTGGTTTGTTTGGTTTTCGTTGGTTTATTTTTTTTTTAAAACAAAAGATATATACCTTCAGTTTCCTTGTGTGATCCTGCTTGAAATGAATGATTTTTCACTGAAAGATTTGCTGTTTAACAGTTAAAGTGTGTTGGTATGTGTACAAAAGCACTTATGAATGTAGAGCAAGAACTGATTGATGTGCTGCCATCTAAAGCCAAGGTGATTTGGTCAAACCATTTAAACTGGAAAAATTCACATCATTTACAAGTTTGATCACTTTTAGGCTATACTCACACTGTTCTAATGAATTAGCTTAATTGAAATGTTTTTCCCCTTCTTTCAGCTCTGCTGTTTTCCTCACTGTATCCTCTCTGTTGCTTTTTAAGTTTTCTTTTGTTTTATCATTCTTTATTTTTCTTCCTTTACTGGCTAGTGGTGTTAAGAAAATAATAAAACTGAAATCTATTTAACAAGAATACAATAAAAAATAAGGCCTTTTGAAGGTAATCTATCACTTTTGTCATCTTCAGGGCTTGAAAACATTTTGTAAAGAAGATTTTAAAGGTGTTTATTCCAGAATGGGCAGTAGTTTGGACTTAGATATCCTCACTACGTTGGAGGAACCCAATTCTTAAAACCTGTGATAGAATCGAATAAGTCCCTGTTTTCACTGCAGCATGTCTTATGACTGGGGCAATTGTAAAGTACCAAGGAAATAGCGGATCAGCGTTTTGTGCAGATGCGTGCGCGTATTTCTGCCTTGTGGAATGCTAAGGCCTCTCCTGCTTCATCACTAGCTCCTTTTCTAAAGTTAGGGAGGATGTCACAGACGTTTGCCATTCTTTTATGTGTTCTGAACTTGACCTTTGTGAACCTGTGCTTTCTTAGCTTCTCTCTGAGTCTGAGTATCATTACTTTCCTCCATGGAGCTAGGATTTTCAGGTTTAAAACAAAAAGAAAAGGGAAACATCCTGGGTTTTCCTTGTGCTTCTCATTTCACCTTTGTTGACTCAATTCCCATGAGGGTTTCTCTCTTCCCTGCAATGCGTTATAGTGCATGGAATTTCCATGGACGTTATTTTAAGGTTAGTTATTCATGGTTGTCAGAAGCCTATTTTTAAAGCAGAAGAAAAAAAAAAAAAAACCTCCTTCTTTTCTCTAATTTCACCTTTCTTTGTTGATTACTAATCACCTTAGATGTTGTTGCTAGTGGATGTATGGTAGATGGATTGAAGCTTTTCTGATAATTATTACACGATTTAAGACAATATATATTTAAAATAAATATATACAGTAAATGTATTGAGCCATGTTAACCTGCCAATGAGATCTGTGAAAAAGTAATGGCCTCATTTTTCCATTTTTAATTTCTTTTACCTTTTTGTGAAGCGGCTATATGTGGCATACATGTATTTAAAAAAAAAATAGGTGTAGAGTGGTTTTTTTTTTTTTACACTTTTAACTTAGCATGAGGTGTTGAACTATTACCATAGATCAAGTTTGTCTTCCACACTAAGATGTGAGGAAATTGTGATTTATTCTCTCCGCCACAATTGAATTACACATTTATGATCTAATATCATTTTGAAACACTGCAGTTTACCATGGGACACTGTATATATTTCTTGCCATAATGGTAAATGATTGATTGATATATTTAAGAGTTAATAAATTTGTGATTTCTGCTGACAATGCGTCTATCTTTATTTCTTACAAAAAGATACTGTATTTATGCTTGAATGGTGCTAGCCAGTGCCAAGGGCAGTATGTCCTACTGTGGTCTCACTTAGCACATCACAACTTGCCCTTGGTGTTACTGGCAAGTTTATTGCCCTGTTTGCACAAAATTATGGTCTCTCTTGAGAAAATTTGCTGAGAATAAAGTAGCTAACTACTAAGAGTCCTAAAAACTTCAAATGTGAGCTCTCCAATCCATCCTTCACATGGTGATAGCATTTCCATTTTCTAACCCAAAACTGACCATATAACACTTCAGTCAGCACTCAGGCAAGTTAAGTAGACAGAAGTGCTCAATCTAGTTCCATTTGCTAAAAGCACCACACTTTCTCACACATCTGTTTACTCTGTTTATTTATGTTTTCCACATAGAATAGTCTTCCTGGTCTTCTTCAACCTAATTCTTAATCATTCTTTAAGGTTCAGTTGAGACTGTCATCCCCTCCAGCAAGGCTTGCTAAGCAGTACTCTGGGCTTACTTTTTCCTACTAACCACATTGTTTTGGAAATAGGTCTTTATGTGTATCTCCTCTGCTGAAGGGTAATTTCTCTATGGGCAAGAACTGTATAGTCATCCTTGCATCCCCAAATACAAGCCAGGGCCTGGAAGGGAGATACTGTTAATAAATAGTTGTTGAACAGAGAGTAAACTCTATATGGGGACTGTGGGAACCCTAAAATGTAATCAGAGAGTCCTGGGGTAATGTCACTATTGTCTTGATACTCTGAGCAAGTTGCTTCTTCCTTCTGAATCTGTTTCATATTTGTAAAAGAATACATATACCAATTGTAGAAGTCTATTGTGAGAATTAGTGATAATGGGTACCAATGGCCTGGAATTACCATTGATGAATATAAAATGGTAGCAGTTATTAATAACTGATATTAATATTCCTATTGCTATTGTTATTCCTTACTCAGGGAGTATATAACTATTATTTTGCTGTGGGCTGCTCTTTTTATGTAGGTTTATTGTTATTGTTAAGGTTACACACATATTCAAATGTCTTAGAACAATGACAGAGATATTGAGATTGTCATCCAAACAAAAATATTTTCTATTTTAACAGATTATTCATATCTTACCCCAGAAGGATTTGCATTTTAAAGGCATTTTCCACTTTATAATGGAAGTCAAAAACGTCTGGCTTGTCCATTAAAAATGTTCTTACCTTTTAAAAAAAATGACTTAGTGAAATAAGCCCTTATCAAGGTAACTAACAGAGTACCTAAAATGTAATGTATTGGAGTGAAATGGATATTTTGAGATTCAATGATTGTTTATAGCCCTTGTCTCTTCCTTTGAGGAACAGTTTTTTTCTTCTTTCTATTTGTTGAACTCTTGTATTTAGTGTAGGGTTAACTTTATGTTCAGTAAGTAAACTGAAAACAGATCTTTGTAAAAATTAAGAGTGGGAATGGAAGAGGGAAGAGGAAGAAGGTTTGGAGCGTGGGCAGGAGGGAGGGTTAGATGGGAAGTATCACTATGTTCCTAAAATTTGTATATATGAAATACCTAAAACTTGGATAATTTAAATAAAATTTAAAAGAAGAAGAAGAATTTACTGGGGCTGGTGCTGTTGCGTAGTAGGCTAAGGCTCTGCCTGCAGTGCCAGCATTCCAAATGGGCACTGGTTCAAGTCCACTTCCAATCTGGCTCCCTACTAATGGCCTGGGAAAGCAATGGAAGATGGCCCAAGTGCTTGGGCCCCTGCACCCATGTTGGAGACTTGAGAGAATCTTCTGGCTCCCAGCTTCCGTCTGGCCCAGCCCTGCCCATTACAGCCATTTGGGGAGTGAACCAGCAGATAGAAGACTCTGTCTCTCCCTCTCTTTATGTGTAACTGCCCCTCAAATAAATAAATAAATCTTTTGTTTAAAAATGAGTTTGCCTACATTTTAAAATTGGGTATTGATTTCTGGCTTCATTAATTTGAAAAACTATAAGGTTCTGTTGCACTTGTCATTTGTTCATGATGGCAGTAGTCACAAACGCTAACACCACTTGAAGAGGACAGCATGTGCTTCACTCCTGGGATTCTACTGCAGGCTCCTGAGGTGTGGGCGCCATGCCCATACTCCTGTGGCTGGATGTACTAGAAGAAGAAGAGATGCAACCATACCAACAAAGCTTGTTATGCATTTATAGCCAGTCATCTCCTTCACAGGTGTTCTTAAAGCTCCCCAGGAGTCAAACTCTAATTGCCTTTGTCCATTCTCTCTTCCACTTATTTCAGATGTTATTTGCTTTTTTTCTACTGCCAACACTTCCCTCATCATTTAGGTGAGGACATTACTTCCTGCTTCAGTGCAAAAAATGAAATTTCTGGATCTCTGCCTTCTCACTCTGCCTTTTCTCCCATTACAATGAAGAAGTAGGCCAAAACCCTGACAAAGACCAACACCTCTGTGTATCCTCCACACGTTCACTCACAGGTATTGCTCTAGCAAATCCCTCTGCTTTGGTTTGTCGTAAATCATTTCCTGAATAGTAGATATCCTCAACAATGTCTTCATTTCTTTTATAGCCAAACTCCTTGGAAATGTTGCCTGTTCTTACTGCCTGCAATTTTTCTCATCACACTCTTTTTAACCCACTCCAACTGCCCTTATAAACACAAAACAGTTTTTCTCAAAGTCCACTGATGACCACCAAGTTATTAAATCCAAAGATCGATTTTTAGTCCTCAGTTTACCTGATCTCTCAGCTGCATTTGACCCAACTGTTCACCATCTCAATTTTGAAACACATGCTTGTTTCTCAGACAGTGCTTTTGCCAGATTTTCCTCCTACGTTTATCTAAGTTTCTTTCTAGTCTCTTAAGAGGTTTTTTTCATCAAACTGACTTTAAATTTTGGGAGTCTTTTTTTGTATCTTCACTCACTCCTAGAATAATTACAGCTAATCTTAATGGCTTTAAACTAAAACTCAAAAAGTTTTCTCAAAAGTGTATCTTCAATGTAGAACCATTTTAAACTCCAAAAATGTATACCCAACTCCCTACTTTAAATCTACATTGTGGATTAACATGTTAACAAATTAACAAATTAACATTAACAAATTAACATGTCCAAAATTGAACTCCTGATAGTCTGTGATAAAACTTTGTCCTATTACAATCTTTTCTCTACATTTCAAAAATTGGCAATTCAATTCTTCCATTGATCAGACTGGAAATATTTGTATCATTCTTAATTCTTCGCTTTCCATTTGAAATACCATCACCTTCAAATATAATCAGAATGTGGACCCTTCCCATGATACTTTGGCACCTTCTTGTACTAAATCACCATCATTTTGTCGGTATTACTGGAATATCCTTCTTATTACTTATGTGGAAGACCTGGATTGGGGTCCCAGCTCCTGGCTTTGGTTTGGCTCAACTCCAGCTGTTGTGTGACTTTGGGGAGTTAACCAGATGGGAGCTCTCTCTGACTCTCAAAAACAAAAAAAGACTGCTCCTTAGTCTTGAATGTATAATGAAATTACAACTCCTCGTGGCTTTTGTCTCTCTTTTACTGTATATTAAGCCAAACTCTTGGAAAATGAAGGTTCTTTAAAACAAAGGGGTTTATTGAGTCATTACAGATGCCAGTCAGAAAAGAACCAGGTCCTGGGACAAGTTGTGTGTGGGGAGCAACTCGGACTAGACTAAGTTACTGGAGTTAAGACTTATTCTATGCATCTGCTCTCCCACAATATGGCGCTGAGAAGGGAGTAAACAATTTCTACGCATCTGCCTTTCGCCAACTTGAGTGATGACCTGCAGGAGCTGATCCTGCTCCTGATTGAGGAGAGCAGCGTACTCGGCGTCTGGGTAGCAGAGTTGGGATTGGTGGAAGAGGACTATAAAGGAGGAGAGAGACAACATGCACCAGGAACATCTAAGGGGAACATCCGGATAACATCTGAGCAGCCCCCGAGAGAGCCGGCCGGTGGTGTGCCACTCCCCCGCGGAAGTGGGGAAAGTGGCAGGGGGCACCGCCCTTCCACGGAGGTGGAAGGGTCAGTAGCCAACCTGGGAAGGACCAGCAGCAAACCCGGGGAGGGCCGAGCAGACAAAAGAACAGCACAGGGTTTAGTGTCGTTCCTCCACGAAGAGGGTGAGTGACAGTTCTGCATCTACTATCATCAGTTTTTAGAGAGCGCTTGGAAAATGTCCACTACATCCCAGAGCTAAGAGCCTTTTTATAATGAAAACCTAGAGAGAGAAGCATAAATTATTTATGTTGATCTTACATTGGCTGCAGAGAAGAGCTGCAGGATAATGCAAAGCAGGGAATTGTTAGGAGGAGGATAGTCCATAAGGAGAAATGCTTCTGGACTGTTTGGAGTCAGTCTGGAAAATTTATGCATAAGAGGTGGTGGCACCAAAGAGTCAGCCACCAGGAGTTGTAATTTCAGTATACATTCAATATACATTCAAGACTAAGGAGCAGTCTTTTTTTTGTTTTTAATTTGAGAGTCAGAGAGAGCTCCCATCTGGTTAACTCCTCAAAGTCACACAACAGCTGGAGTTGAGCCAAACCAAAGCCAGGAGCTGGGACCCCAATCCAGGACTTCCACATAAGTAGTAAGTAGAAGCAACCCAACTACTTGAGACATCACCTGCTACTTTCAAGGGTATGCGTTAGCAGGAAGCTGGAATCAGGAACCTCGCTGGGACTCAAATCGAGTCATTCTGATGGGAATGCAGATGTTCCAATCAGCGGCTTAACTGCTGTGCCAAATGTCCACCCCTGAAACAACCTCTTGCTGATTTCGGCTTATAGCTGTTAACATTAACTCACGTATCCCTTTGCCACTTCATCCTCCATCCTTTGTAATTGAATCTAGGAGATCTCAAAAATTTTTCTTTTGTCATCTCAATGAAGCAATCAAAATGAACTTGTTAAAATATAAAGAAAGCATGTCACTTTGGGCTGAAAACCATCTGTTAGTTTCTGCTATCATT